GCGCCATTGACGGGGTCATCGGTCGCATGAAGCGTGCCTTATCCCTCGCCGAACTAAGCGATGTACAGTTCGCCGTGGGACGCGATCATGGCCAAGAAGATTTTTCATGCTCACAAGTACGTGGTGACGGTGTATTTCACCGAAGCTCCTTTGCAGCTTGATAGAAAATGTGATTTTGTGTAGAATATTCTTGAGCCTGAGCAGCGATGTATTTCACGCCATGTTCTTCGGGAATTTGGCTGACAACAATCAGGACATCATCCAGATCCCGAGATTCCGTCCGCAGCATTTGCTAACATGCTCAGGTCGGTCAGAAAGTGTACAACTCAGTACAAGTATGAATTTTGTTGTTTTTTCACATGCGGCGGGGAATTTGATAGTTACATATATGAGAATGCCGTGGACGATCTGAATTGGCAGAACGTATTTCCCACTTTATACTGCGCCGACAAGTATGACCTGCCATGGCTGGCGGAGATCTGCTGCGTCTATTTACAGGTGGAACTCAACACAGAGAACTGTCTCATAGCTCTGGAAAATGTAAGTTGCACTGATCAGAAGCTTGTTTTCGTTTGGATTTCGATACTAAGTAATTGAATCCTTCTGTGGTTGAAAGCAGACAGTTTGAAGCGATTTCAAAATGATCTGCAATCCAATGACTTGATTAGAAATTTAGAATCTGAACGTACGAGCAAGAAATTTACTTACTAAAAATAAGGATATTTATTCTTTTTAACAACGTTTCTCGAGTTTTTTCGTTGTATTCTAATTCAGCACAGGAATTGCTATAACTTCCCCAAAAATTGCCAGTTATCACAAAATTATTACAGATACCGTACTTATGACGTTCGAAATTTATGGCATTGAATTCTGTATAACGATTATCCGGACTCCCGAGTCGAAATAGTGTGGTGAAATATGGTGATGATTGATGAATATTTTTTTTAATTTTGATTAATGATTTATGCTATTTTTTCCCATTTCAAAAACACGAAGCCTCGTTTAACATTACAATGATTTTTCTTACACACACAGAAAACTGAAGCGTTTGAAACGTTTGATATACTTTACTTGCATTTGCACTTTGCAGATTAACGTTTGGGGTCCGAATTTCGACAGTATTGTGGAGGCATGTTTGGATCTGATAGACGCTTCGGACGGTGCCGTCTTCCAGTCGGAATACTTCACGGGACTGAGCCATGGAACGCTGCAGATGGTTGTGCAGCGCCCCACACTGGCGGCGCCCGAATACATCATCTACACAGCTGTCGAGGCGTAAGTGACATCTGTCATTTTCAGGCCGGAGCGAGTGGAGAACACTGCGTCAGTCTGAATCGCTGAAATGCGATTAAGATTTGGGTTGTTCCTAATTGATTTAGTCCTTTTAGGTGGGCTGTTGAGGCCTGCAAGCGCAAGAATGTGGACCCATCCACCACCAACCGGCGGGAAATCCTAGGTGCCGTTCTCTTCCTTGTTCGCTTTCCGCTGTTGACCGATGCTGAGCTAGCCAGCGGTCCTCTCAAAGTACGTGCCGGTACAGCCATCCTTGTTCGTATTGGTTTGCGTCATATTCTGAGTCTTCGACGTGCGCCCTACTTTTTCTTCGGTTAAGAAATTTGGTTTGTCACATTGTTACCATTTGTTTATGACGTCGTGTAACCGGCAAAACTCGCACTTGTATTAAAATCTTTACATCTTCATTGAAAGTTATGTGCCATTTTACAAAAATCGGGAGATAGGATGACATTTAGTCTTTAGAGCATGGCTGTACGGCTGAACCTTTTGCTCTTTTATTTCGCACCAAGGTGTACAGATCATTCGGTTGTAGAATCAAATAGAACGGGTAAAAACAAGCGCCTGAATGAACGAATGCGAACATTTTAGTGTGTAGAAGGTTATTTCCTTTAAAAGATAGCGCAAGATTGATAGCACGAAGAATCGTGCTATCTTTTGACAGTGAAAGTTATTTCCTTTAAAGCACAGAAGACGTGAATATGGTCACAGTATTTACGGTGCAAGCGGATCCCGCATATCTAATTAAGATGTGTGTGTTTTCTTTTCAGAATGCTTTGTTGCTTCCAGCGGAACTCTGGGACATCTTCATGTACAAACATAACAACGAGAATCTCGTGCTATCTTTTGACTGTGAACCGCGCAGTTACGTGCAGTACCGCGTCGGGGAGGCGGTATTTAAACACAACGAAATGGTTTTTGCGCAGGGCGTCGATGACGTCTGGTACCCGGCGGAGGTCATCGGAGTGTCAGAGCAGAATGTCAGAATTCGCTGGATGAGAAAGATGAATAATTGGTGGCCCTTCATGAGCCCTCAGTACATCATTCGTGCTGCGGATATTCTGCAACGTGGCCAACGGCTCCATATCCTCGTTTCGGGTGTGCCCAGTGCGGTTAGCTACTGTTATCGACGGGCGGGCCTCCATGTGGTGGAGGTTGATGGGCGGGAAATGTCGGTTAAGACGGAGGATCTGCTTCTGCGTCAAGACGAGGTTATAGCGTGGAAAGCGGCCAACAAAGAAGAAGTGAATTGTTGAAAATACGCTATTATATGCAGTACTCGTATAACATTAACCGGAATACGCGCATTCGCGCACGCTGTTTTGCTGCTTTGCGCAATGAGCAAAGCTTCTTTGTAATCGCGCTTCGTTTCATTTGACGTTGTTGTTTTAAGCATGCTTTCAGATCCTACTCTAGTTTTCTTGTTCCTCATTCTGTTATGGTAATCTCATAGTGATAATTACGATGAACGGTCAGCAAACATGGTAACTTTTACTTTCGGTTAAGTAAAAATCAACCTAATTTATTAACTTGATAGCGGGATCGGGATCGGTAGCATCTCCACTATGCTTGGACTGGGTTGAGCTTACATAGTAACTCCGAAAAAATCTGCCGATCGCGGGAGTCGAAACCACGGCACCATGATTTTAGGCCGGTTTGGTTGCCACTGGGCCATCGGCAAATCATACAAATTGTACTTACTGAAACATTTTACAAGGGCGTTATACAGAGGGCGTGTTTCTCTGGTAACTGCAGGAAATACAGGGCTCGCATCAGCCAACGAAGCCTGCAAATAATCAAGGCTTTTGTCATTGACAACGGGAATTAACATGATGCACTGAGGAAAAGGTTCGCACTTACTGCTCTCTGTAGATGAAGGGATTTTTCTTGACCAGGTTCCAGCCCGGCAACAAACTGCACATCGCTGACTGCCAAGTCCTCCTGGTGCACCAGTGTACTCACATCATTCACTGCACTGGGTACGCCGGGTATCGCAGACGATGTCGATCACGAACAGGCCACGTAAGACGGAAAAGTAGCCGGTAGGCCCGGTACAAAACACTGCAGATGACCTGCTAGCCACGACGTCAAAACAGCTGACTGTAGGAGATCACATGTTCACAAGTGAAATTCTTGACTTTGACATGCTCGGCTAGATCATAACAAATTTCGATGCCTTTGCGGAATCGCACCACCGCTAAAGATGGGAGACACCGAGACAGTCGCTGTTGAGTGTGTTCCAGCAGACAAAAGAAACGTTATTCGAGGGAAGATTACGTAACCGCTGGCACGGTCGGTATGCCCTGCACGGAGGATAAGCGTATACAAAACCTCGCGGGTGGCGGTGTTATTCACTTCCGCTTGCACTTTCCGGTAATGATTTCCATTTGCAACTTTGCACTGTTCCGCAGCAGCATAGAGTCTCCAAAACTGCAATTTTGGGTTGTTTTTAATATCAGTTCTACTTCTGTTTATCATGTTTGTGATTCGATCGACCCGTTAGGATACTTGTGATTTCTGTCAAAGCTGCTTTCGCTTTCTCATTTGTTCCAGGTTTTTTGACAGGCTTGCATCAGATACTGGTCTTGCAAGTTGAGCAATCCTAAGACATTTAGCTGTTCCCAAAATTTCTCGATCCACGGAGCAGGCTCCTTGGATGATCAACCATGTCCGACAACTTTTCTTTCCCCGTGTATTTACAACGTCGCGGCGCACTGGATGAAGTGGCCAGTCGCATGAAGCGTGCCTTAACGCTGGCCGAACTGAGTGATGTGCAGTTCGCTGTGGGACGCGATCATGGCGAAGTGAAGATCTTCCATGCACATAAGTACGTGTCGACGGTACAACAATGACCAATATTGTCACATGAGCTGCCGTGAATCTGTACGTCGTTTTCAGTGATGGACATCTAAATTTTGTGTAGGATGTTTCTGAGCCTGAGCAGCGATGTGTTCCACGCCATGTTCCATGGGGATTTGGCTGCGAATAATCAGGATGTCATCGAAATCCCGACATTCCGTCTGAAGCCTTCGGTAAGATGCTCAGGTGCGTGAATTTTCTACATCTTTAATGCAATCGTTACTCTGAGCGTATAGCATGTTGTTTTTGTTAGTTATGTGTACTCGGATGCAATGGACGATCTGAATCTGGAGAACGCATTTCCCACTTTGTCCTGCGCGGATAAATACGACTTCCCATTGCTCGTCGATCTCTGCTGCTGTCACATTTTGGAGCATCTCAACCCCGACAACTGCCTCGTGGCGCTGGAAAATGTTAGTTACAATGTGATGCACTTTTCCTTCGATTTTGTTCGACATATGCCGTTATCTGTACGCTAACGTTTGGTGTCCGGATTTCGACAATATTGTGGAGGAGTGTTTGGATCTGATCGACGCTTCGGATGGAGCCGTCTTCCGATCGGAACACTTTTCTGCACTGAGCCATCGCACTCTCGAGATCATTGTACAACGCGACACGCTGGCGGCACCGGAAAACATCATCTACACAGCTGTCGAGGCGTAAGCGACACTTTTTTTACGGAACTACCAAAGTTCCGAAGCGGAGATTTTTCCTCATGGCATGATTTTTGCTCGGGGAAAATGCGCTGTTTTTTTTAAGCTTTCCGTTACATTTTCCGCCTTCTAGATGGGCGCCGAAGCCTGCCGGCGCCAGAACATGGATCCATCCTCCGTCAACCGGCGGGCAGTGCTGTTTCGGGTGCGCTTTCCCTTGTTAACTGATGCGGAGATGGCCGGCGGTCCTCTCAAGGTACGTATTTCCAGTCCAGTTCTTAGTGCATTTTGCCATTCGCTCTTTTCGACTTATCGTCTGCACAAAAATAAATATACTGTGTGTGCGAATTTTTCGCCAGATGTCAAGCAGAGCAAGCAGGCATGACTCGGAAATGGCCCGGTACATGGTACTTAATTCGTGTGCATTCAGAATAACTTTCGGTTTCGCGCACCATAAAACCATGAAACACTTTTTTGTAGAACTTCTGCTCGTTTAAATCATTCTAATGTCCAAACGATTTTGTATACACTGGTCTGAAAACCGTTTGTGAGCGCTGTCTGCGCGCAACATCCGATTGAAAAAGCTCAGGTTACCATTCGAGCTTCCCAAATTCTAATGTTGGGATTAAATCCTAATGTTGGGAACATGCTATGAATTTAATCAGGTGGAAGTTTGTAGATAGGTCATTTAATAAAAGTTTCAAGAAGATCGGAGACTGTCTGAGCTGAGACATCTTGTTCATTTTAATTCGTCGTACTTCAGCAACCGGATGTTGCCCGCGCAGACGGTTTTCAGGCCAGTGTATGCAAATCATTTGGATGTAAAATGACATTAAACATTGCGAAAAAGAAAGTTCTTAAGGTAGGTCCACGAGTTCGCAACCTGTACCGGGTCATCGCTCTTCCGGCAAAATAAAACCATCGTTTCTCTTCCAGAATGCTTTGCTGCTTCCAACGGAACTCTGGGAAATCTACATGCACAAAAACAAGCCTGTGCTGCCCTTCGACAGTGCGCCGCGCCGCTCTACGCAGTTCAGTGTTGGAGGGGCGATGTTCAAATATGGTGAGGTAGTATTTGTGGAAAGCGACGATGAAGACTGGTATCCGGCGTTAGTAATCGGGCACGAAGAGGTGGAGGAGAACCATGAACCGGGGGAGGTCGTCATTCAGTGGCTGCGCGAGGCCGCCAGTGGTGACCAATTTAGATTTCCGGAGGACGTCGTTCGTGCTGCGGATATTCTGCAGCGGGGCCGACGGGTCCTCCTGTTCGAAGCGGGAATGTCCAAAGCGGTCAGCTACTGCCACCGGCGTGGTGGGCGGCACGTGGTGGAAGCCGATGGTCTGGCAAAATGCGCGGAAATTGAGGATCTGATGTTGCTGAATGAAGTGGTCGCAACGTGGAAGCGAGCGAAAAGCTAATGGTGCGAGAGGAGTGTGTCGGTTCGGATGGTATATAGCGCAAGGTGTATTGGGTACCCGTTGAATGTTGTTGATCATTTCCTTGTAATCTATTTTTGTATAGTAATTGTTCTTTCTTTGTTTTATGAGCTTATTGCTGAAACTAGTCGAGCGCTGCGGACCGTGCAATTTACCCGTATTTAAGCAGAAAATAGTGAGTTGAAAGTCTCAAGTTTTCCAGTGCTGAGATATGGGAGAAAAATTTCAGCGATCGGTACCCTTATGTACCGAGTGCGCACAAATGTACGGAGGTGGTGCAATAAAATTTATGTGTCTTCTGTTCGAATAAGCGTGGAGACAAATTAAATTTAAAAGCAAACTTAAAATAATTGTGCAGATAAACATCGGATCGAATGCAAACTCTACGAGTAAGCATAACGCACAGTGTGCAACTTACATGTGCCAACACTGGCCCAACAGTCTGAATGCACACGTGCCAAAAATATTTAAACTACTCTAGCTAGTCTGTAATATATGATTATTTCCCGGTAAGGAGTTATATATTTTTCGTAACTGTGCAATGCTACGCTTGAAAAGGAATTCGATTCACGAAAACACCGCTCGCGAACATGAATTTTCCATATCGTGCATTTGCCGCTCACCGCCCGTGTCGTTCGTATTGCCTGACTTTATTTCAGGGCCAATGTCAGGTGTGTTTCGAAATTAGTTTCTAGCGCGCTCTTTTGTTTGCACGTTTGTATACTGGTATGGCCACACTGTGCGGTACAACGCTATTCAGCTAAAGTACCCATAAAGTGACATAATATTGAGAACGTTGGGAAGTTACTAGGTCGGCCTGGTCGGTAAATCTGCAATCACATCAACGTATAGATCGTCTATATACGAGGGAATACGTTCAGTAGATCTTCGATATACAAACAGCGCAGGTAAATAAACACGCAGTTTTCCATATTATGTTATAATATTAGGGAAATCCGCATAGATCAGTAGATGCTGAGTAATAAGTTATGTTTTCTTAAGACTGCATGACAAATGTACAGTACGTTTAAAATAAATGCTGAGGTGGTATAATAATTATGTGCCGCATGTACAAGTACAGTGAGCAGTGCATCTTGCCGGCTACGTGTGCGGTTCTGTTGTTTAATTTGATGAATGCTGATCGGCCAGAATGTTGACTATAGCCCGCTGTACCGGTACTAGAGGCTGCAGAAGATGCTCTTCTAAAAATTCTACTCTAGTGTTTTTTCTGTGCGTCCAGGTTCGGTAATAAGTAATCTTTGCATGCACTGTTCAGTAATGAGTAACTGGCATTCGCACAGGCGATAATTTTCGATGAAGAGATAGTTTTTTTTTACTGATGCGTTTATGTTTTATTCCACCGAGCATCACCAAATTTGTATTACTCTTCAAACGTCACAATTCGGCAGTTCCCCATAATTTTGTTGCTATGGTGAAATATGCAATTTTTAATTGTTTTGTTTTAAGTCTTGTTCTTGGTCGAAGAAAGAAGTCAGAAGAGGAAATCGCGCATCGAACAACATAATAATTGAAGTACGGGTAGTGAAAATATATGCCGGTGGACAGTGGTAGTTCGCAGTTCGCGCCAACAACATTGGCAGATGCTAACGGCACTTTGGAAACCAGTTTATTTGCCGGCGTGGAAAGCGGGGAATCCTTAACAACAAGATAACTCTCAAGTTTCAACCGGCGCAAACGCTAATGAAATTCTGAAGAACATACAGATTCTATAATTTTGAAAATGTATCACGACCTGCATCCTTGAGATTGCTGAACTGATTGATATACGATACGATGTAATTGTATGCATTCCGCGCTCTGTGTTTTTACAACCACCGGCCTCAGACTTTCTGGCATTTATTCCTTTATTCGTCACTCGTACAGTTAATAGCCAAACGCTCTTCCGTTGCGGGAAAAGCGAAAACCCGAAAGGTCACATCTTCTGGCCCTTAGGTACTAGCATTTTAAATTTTGCTGTCTATCCTGTGCCGGAAATTGCCAGATGCGCTTATTAGGCTTACCGCGAACACCCGCTTTACATAAACAACTAATAATTAATTTTGCATATCAGTATATGTGGGACCCATATGAACATTCCTTCTTCGTGAGCAAGCGTCAACCGTTCTTGATAGGCTTCTGCGATTAATACGTACGATCTCGTTTGCGCTCGCCTCAAAAACGTTTGCTGTTTTTTTTAAGAATTAGTGCAAAATCATAAATTTTGACGTGTATAAACAAGATGTGCATTGGCTATGCGTGCACGACGTCATGGCACTATTAATAAATGACTTTTAATAATACGTTACGTGATAGTAATGCGCTGTGCAATGTGTGTTAAACTGTTAATGGCTGACACGGGTCGCATATCTTCTCCCTAATTGTTGGATAATTACAGACATACAGTGTACGACTATACTTTATAATTATTCCTTATTAGTTTTCGGTCACACAACTAAACCTTGAAATAAATCATTACCGGCTGTTTTCAAATGAAGTATCAGGAGCATGCTAAGCCACAGTAAATTACTTAATTATAGTTGCAGCATGCAGCGACAGTACTGTATTTTGTGGATATACAATGCGCAGAAGTTTAGCAAGACTGCAGAAAGAAGCCGGTATATTTAGGTACGACTTTTTTGGAAACAATAATTAGCAACTAAGATGCAGTTATGCTGTCGCTCCAAGGGTACCGCCAAAACAGCTAACTTCACCAATAGTTTAACGTTTAACAACAGAGATGCAACGTTTATATACCTGCATTACTCTTTATAATCTCTTCATACAGGCTCTGTCACATTCCTGCAAGCTCATTACGCGCGTTTGAATTTTTAGCATAAAGTTGCGATCCATAGGTCTAGTTAGGTACAGTAAGGTATGTTTCAAATGTTGATCGTGATAAATTATGCTTTCATCATGTTCGGTGTAGTATTTCGGCAAGCTGCTGGTTTTGGAGCGAGGCCCTTTGGCAACTCGAGATCCTTATCGTCATCATCCGGGGTCACATCGTCGGAACAAAGTCTGCTGTCATTTATCAGCCGGTGCATGGGTGCCACATCTAATGCAGCTCTGGGATGTCCATGTGCCGGAAATGGAAAGCGCTGCAAAAATCCCTTGTCCCTCTGTCACAATTTTAAATGCATTTGTGACCCATCGATTAGCACGACAGTTAATGGTCAATGTGTCGCCATTATTAAGCTGACTACCACCGACACAACCACTGCCACTACGACAACAACCACTGCAACAACAACTACAACCACCAGTACTACTACTACTTCGACGCCGGCTTGCTCCGCGTTTGCTACTCCCGCAGCTTCTGGATGTACGAATCAATGTGACACCACCCTGTCTACTGACGCTAAAACCAAATGCACCGCCACTTCCGCTAACGATATAGCATATTTTCCTCTGACGACTCCCAACCCTGCCGGAGATACCATCCAGGAAATCCTTAACGTGCATAACAATTACCGACGGTCGGTGGCCGCACAGGGTATGAACAAACTGGACTGGAGCAACTGTGCAGCCAGTAATACACAGTACTGGGCCAACACGTGTCCTTCGGACCATGACAGATCAAGCACTCGCCAGATACCAGGTATGCCAAATCTCGTTTATTCAGTATTCGCACCTATTTAGGCAAAAATCAATGTGCAACTACATACTGTACAGTATGTACATGTACGTACGAGCGCATGCCCTTTATTTGTTTCAGTACTCGTTTATGCGCTTTTAATTTTAATTCAGTGCTTTTTTGTATTTCATACACACTGTAGCTGATTACAATACTATGGTCAAAGTTCTAACCTGTGTCCGTCTCTTTATAGACCACAGTAACTGCAAAAAAGTGTGTGTACACATGATCGGGAAGACATACATGTATGTCTTCCCGATCATATCTAAATAAAATGTCTAGTGAGAAAACGGTGCCGGTGGCACAATTAATTAAGCGGGATGTTAGGAGTGCCAACTACGGCACGGTCACTTGTGGCCTTTATTGAAAGACGTATCGAGCGAGAGATAGGTAAATGGTTTGTGGTTACCAGTCACAGTATACCAATTAGGAAATCAGGCTAGCCACTTTCCAGGATTTAGTAATATCGAGAAAGTATGTTAGTGCAGTGGTTGAAATTCTGTGATACAGTGAGTGCAGCAACAGAGAGTGCACTTTGCCGGGCAATTTGTCTACGAAATAAAATTATAGTGCCGTAGTGACGTGAATTAAAGACCTAACACAGTGAAGTGGGTACTGTATCCACTTGTCCGACCACGTCCAGTCGGATAGAGCGACTCTGTCTCAAACTGTTACGGAAGATGGTAGAAGATTACGTTGATCTGGTATGAAGAAGGAAAGGAAAAGAAGAAGAGGTCCGGGTCCTGCAAACACGAGAAATACACACACGACGGAGAAGTATACGTTACCTGTCCGACGCTAGATGTTAGCAGAAGCGATAAGAGATATCCATCAACCTGGCGCTACAGGGCATGAAGATGAAGAGACCGAAAGGTCACGGCAAATCAAGTGGGATCAAATGGGTAACCTGTTACGTCACGAGACTATCCGAAGATGATAATGCACGTCGACGAAGTAGAGGAATGACCCTGACAATAGGTGAAAGGTCACCCAGAGGTCAGTTTGAACAGCCTCACTTGGAAAGAGAAGACCAGAGCAAAAGCCTGAAGTTAATCAGATCGAGTAACAAGACTCTACTTTTGTTGGGATTACAACTCTTGACATTTGTGTGGGCGACGAGGCATATATAGCCCTGGGCACCGCAAGTGCTGGCTCTTCGTACGCGCAGGTACGGGTCTGAGAACAATAGGGATATAAACTCTAGCCAATAAGAGACATCTGAGGACACGTGGACTAATCACACCGCTGCATCACTACACGTGGACAAATGAGAACATGAGGTCAACTAATACACTAGAACAATAGGTTGAGCTACGTCATCGAAGCGCGGTCACGTCGAAATGGCAAGTCGCGGTCAAAGTTCTCTGCTGGGGATTTCTAAGAAGTCGATACTCGGAGTCGCGGTCATGACTCGCGTAGAAGTTGTAGTAAAGCCTAGGCCTTAGTAGTAGGGGTAGAAGTAGTAAAGTAGTACCGATGTGTACTAAGGGACGCCAGTACACGTCAGTAGCTTGGAATCCGACTGGCTCAAGTCACTGTCTTAATTTGCCCCCCTTTAAAGCCGGGATTTTGTTGTGAGATGGGCTTGGGTAACTTTTGGTAACACATTTTAACAACACTTTAGGTTTCGCTTACTGCGGTCAGAATGTCTACTGGAATTCGGGTGCTCCTCAGACCTGGAGTGCTGCCATAAAAGCATGGTTCGATGAAGTCCGTGATTTCGCATTGTGTGCCGACAACAGTGGAAAAAGTGTTGGACATTACACTCAGGTACGTTCCATATTGGCCGTAGAGCCCTTCCTGTCCTATTTTTATAATAGAAATTAATTATGGTTCTTCTTGTACTTTGTACATAGATAATGTGGGCGGATACAACACTTATCGGTTGCGGCATGAAATCAGGCTGTCCGGCAATAAATATTAATGGAATAAATCTCCCTGCTCCCGTCAATGTCTACGTTTGTAATTATTGTGCAGGGTAGGTCTACGCCATTTATTATATCAAAATTTGTTGAAATATTTGGATAAGATCTAAATGGAGCATTCGCAAATCCGACTTAGTTATATACTGGAGCAGTTTTACTGCATGTAAAAGTAGTGGTTGATTCCATTCTCTCATCGGAAGCAAGTACTGTATCTGTACTTTCACAATTCGCCAACAAACACGTATGCTGTTGTCATTTTTCTTAGTTTTGAATTGATTTTTTTTACATAACGAATTAACGATGCGCCGGTGTCTAACGGTCGGTATTATTTTTATTTCCACAGAGGCAACATTCATATCTCGAAAAATCGAATCAAAACGCGTACTAAAATCACAAGCAATAAATTTTATACAGTGCTAAAAGTTGTACTAAAATTACTCGTATTACAGTACGAGCATGTCCAATCGCCGGTGCAGAGTAACAAAACCTACGTCTGCAGGGCGTTCGCTAATTACTCGCATAAAGGAAAACGATTTCGGTATTTTCTCTGTACATTTCGCCTTGAAAATTACTGCAGCAATTTTCATGCAATCGATGCAGAAGTTTGTGTACTTTCAATAGCTTGTAGGGATGTAAGTCGCCGTAATCACGCTGCACCACCGAGTGGGACCGGTCGCTTTACCCACCGGAAATCCTATACAACTTCTTTGCCTCAAATGTTTAGCTGTGAGATCTTCGAAAATTTGTATGTAGTCGTATGCGCAAGAGATTTTTGCACAAATCACATTGCTGTTCAAAGGAATACAGCCAATATTCTTGGCGGAGAGCCGCGGAAAGACCCAGCGCACGCAAGTGTTAACGTTTGTGCGGCGTTGGATGCAACGGGAATCGATGGTCTTTCCAGCATAAAAAAACAATGTCCAGTTAGTTCAATTCATGTACATGCAGTTGGTAAATCGGATGACGTTGTCACTGTAGTTCGAATTAGTTAGACTGCGGTAGGCCGATTCGAGAGACGTGAAAAAGGCCATTCGTTATCCGGAAGTGCTCTGGCGGGCGCTCGTCAGAATGACGTACGCTTTACAATCGTACGACGAGTTCGAAAAGTGCATGATGACTGTATAATGGTGTGAAACAATGGCTTTGTTTTTTGCTGCACGCATTAAATTATACATATACCGGTAAACGTCTTGCTCCTTTATGCAAACGCATGCACAGATATATAACCAGGGTTGATTTTTTTGGAACGGGTGCGCGGCGTTTCGGCATTGTGGTATATGTTGGAATAGTACTGTTTTATTCGTGAATCGTAGCTCGACAAAACTTAAACCGATTTTGCTGACATATTGTTTCTCAGCTACAATGCGGACAGCGTCGCTAGGAACAAACACACGTCCTTTGTACAAGGTCGAACTGCATATCTCACAGGAATACGCCCGAGATTTAGATGTTCTTGGATTTTTATTTATTCATTTTCATTATTGCGACCGCGCCTGACCTTTGTTTACACGAATAGCTATGGCTTGGTAACACATACAAATACAGAGTACAAGTCGATTAGTTGCGAACTTGCGACAAAATCAAGGCGATGGCCTCGTATATAGGGTACGACTTTACTTCCGGCGGATACACAGCAAATGAGGAAGGATACGGATACAGTACACAATAGTTCATGCAGTTTTGTTAGAGCTTCATGCAGTACCCATTAATGATCACACAACTCGATCATTAGCCATTCTTATTACAGAAACCGAATTTTAAAAAATTCCCGTACCCTAACGCCAATGACGACCCACTGTCAACTGTAAATTCGCGGAAATATAATGGCAGTCAGCAAGTCACATAAGGTCAGCCGCATCGAGTGAACGTTTTCGCTTGGCAACTTCCGGTGTGCTGCTCTCCCCGCTCGCCTCCTGCGCTTTCTTCCATGCTTCAACTTGATCGCATTTTATAACAATCTCCTCGATCCACGCTATCCGTTCTGTGCCAGCCACATCGATAACATGAGCGCCCACATCCGGCATCTTATACACTGCCTCCAGACGGCGTCCCACATGGCCGCGGGATCTAACCACACGATCGCTTGCCCACTGGTCACGACGTCGGAGGCCCGCACCATTTCCTCCGTTTCGACCTTTATGATCTGCTTCAGTTCCATTGACCAGCAGACGACGGCGGTCCCGCATCGTCTGATCACTTCGGCCGGGTACCAGTACTGTTTGCCTTGCACAAAGACTTCCTCGCTTTCTTGAAAGTGCAAACCGGCAGTACGTGGTCGCGTAGCAAACGGCAGCGGGGGTTTCGATGTGGTGTGCCAGGACCTACTGTATACAGGCCTAATAAGAGGTTCGATAACGTCGAAGTAGATCAGACAGTTATCAATAGTTACCAATGCAGAACATCGGAATGCTGGATTGATTTGGGTTGATTTTCAGAGTTGCCGTTATTATTGAACACAGTTTGTAATACAAAATAAAATAAGTGAATTTTCTGAAACATATTTCTGCCACGAGATGGAAAAACAAGAGGAAAGTTTTAAACTGGGAAGTTTTTTCTGCGATAACTGTTGTTTCCCCAGCTCACCTGCTGCTACGTCAAACACTGTCAACAATTTTTCGTTTACACTTTTGTTAGACCTCAGCATTAAGCATTCTTCGAAAACGGTCGAAGACTCAAACTCTCAAGACTCTAAAAACAATTTACGAAATCTAAGGAACCGTACAGCTAGAGGAGGACCAGATTCGTCGAATAAAATATCACTCAGACGCTTGATTTCCCCAGTCAGCGCCTCAACAGTAAGTACTAATATAAGGGCTTCCTTCTGCTTCTTCGATCCATAAAAAGCCCCACGTTGGTATTACAACACGGAGATTAAGGAAAAAAATATATGATGCCTTCGTAGGTATTTAAAGCCGATAAGATTTCAGAAGAAAGTCAAATGCAACACAGCACAGCGTGCATGGAACAATACAGTGCAGTATGGCTTGAGCTACACGGTCGTTGCAGTAGTCTGCTTCTTTTTCAAATTACACTTTGTAAAACCATCTTCCACGCTAGATTTTAATAATGATAAAACATAGATATATTTTACTCTTAAAACTCAAAGATTGTAAACCAATTTGAAACTAGAGAAGGTCGTAAAACGTAATAACTCACTATTTTCTGCACAGCTGCAGTGTTAAACCGTCTCATCTACTGCTACGTCATCTCGTACTGCACAGGCGTCTTATTAGGCCTGTATACAGTAGGTCCTGGGTGTGCTTATAAACGCGGATTTCTGACAATTCGGATGTCTTCAGCAAGCCACTCTGCAGAACGGAAATTGTATGCCCAGTTTATCTCACAAAAGGTCTTAAGTGGTCTGACACAGTTTGAAAAAGCCTAGTTAATGTACAGAAACTGCATGCGATCCCGACAATATTTCATTTATAAAATGGATAGCGGCTGCTAACAAACCGGACCAACTTACGCTGGCGGGACCGTCGTTGAGCTGCTTGTCTGTCATCAACGGGAAGCGAATCAGGTAAACGAGGTCACCCAGCGCCTCGCGCCGGTTAGTCAGCGATGGCTCCAGATTGTTTCGGGCGCAGATAGCCGCCGCCCACCTGCAGATCGAGCAACGGAATACGCAAAAAAGTTAAAGTTGTTTAAGTGAGTAGATCAGTACTCCATTACAAGTGCAGGTCACTTTCGTGTACGCTGCTGTCCCAGCAACTACGTGCTGTTTCTTTTCTTACTTCCTGCTGTTGTACTTCCTGTCGTTCCGCTACCAGCTTGAGCTGGCTACGTTTTATACTATTTAATGTATTGTATCTGTAGTATCGCAGATAAAATACAATTAAACGAACTCAACTTAACTACTAAGGTAAAGCATATATACACATCTGTATGCAATACTTCACAGTCACATGAAACGTGAGGCCCTACTACTGTATACCCGCGTATGTGCAAGTTGCAACCGCTTGTATTGTATATCCCACTGCGCTTATTGTAATGGAGTCATACTATGTCTTAGCAACGGCAACGGTATCTGCGAATACCAGCTGCAAATAGTCAGTCGAGTTGTGTACGAGCAGCAATAAACAACAGCGTATTTGGCAATACGTGACACTTATATATACAATATTATAGTTTTATAGTCGACGCGTTCATGGATATATTTAAATACAGTATCAGGGGCAGAGGTACAGTTATTATACACTCTACTCTAGACAATTGTGCGCTTACTTATCCACCGCGGCGAAAATGGTGCGCTCAGCAGCAAAAAGAGTGTCCCGCTGCAGAATTTTTCGTAGCGTATTTTGTGCCAGCTGAGTGAATTGTTCCAACTGGAAGATTTTCTTGCAGTGCATATCCACGAAGTGCAGGCAGTCCTCTATGATATTGTCGCTACTAACAACCCAGACAAGTGCCTACGATTAACCAAGCCGAATAAACCAGCGCGGAAATGAGGCTACTGATAAGGACAGACATTTTCCAAGTGCAGCAGACAGTTGTTAATTCGAAGATCTCGGACGATGAAATCGTAGCATTGCTTTGCCAGGCGTGACAAATCGTACTTGTCCGCACACTGCATCGTAGGGAAAACGTCGTCCGTGGCCACATCCACCGCGTCCGTGTAGATGAACCTACACAACACAACATGTACAAATTTACAAAAAGCCACGGATTCGATATGTGCGACCTGCTAAGCATGTGGCAACGCACTCGAGTATCTTCTGGAAAGCTGTGGGAGGAGTATCCGGAATGTCGATAGCACAGCCGCTCTTCTCGGGCAAGCTTCCGTAAAACATCGTATGAAAGACATCGCTGCTACTGCTCAGTATACACCTGCAACATTCGTTCACCATAAATGCGGTATCTGTGATATAAATGCATTAGCTCCGAAATTCCACAACGCAGTACAATAACGGGCACGCCAAGAAACAGCGACCGTGCTCTGTACGGAGCAAGCCGTGCTCTGTCTGTAATATCGTACCTGGATGTTGAGAAGATTTTCTCCTGACCATGATTCCGCCCGAGTCGCCCGACAATAAACTGCACAAATCCGACATGAT